TTATTAAATTTTATAATACTAAAAAAATGCTGAAATACCAAAATTCGTAGCTGGCCTGTCCTGAAAGAGTTGAACGTTTTGTCATAATAATTGTATAAAAACTCACGGAACCAGTTACGTTCAGAAAAACCCACGGGGAAAAAAAAATGTCAATAATCCTAAATTTATATTTGATAATTCCTGAACTTCTGCAGCAGATCAGACGGAGAGTCCGAGGCCCAGCGGAAACGTTGATGGACGTAATCACCTGGGAAGAGATTAATGAAAAACAAAAATCATCTTTACACACAAACAACCAAATGTTCCATCTGCAGGTGAACTCCTGGTTCCTGTAGAGTTTCTAAAAGCAGAACATTTTGAAGTCCACCCACTTGAAGAAGGCTCGTCTTCGTACGCAGAGGTCTGCGACGCCTCCTTCTGGCAGCGGCGCTCCTCTGCCTGCGGAGCCTCCGGAGCGTCTGGTTTGCAGTTCTCCAGCATGGGTTCCTTCTTTGTCCTGACGGCCCAGTGCACGGACTGCAAACAGAGGAGCAGCCGGGTCACGCCCGCCTCACGCCGCCTCCATGTTCCCACAGTAAAGACATACGTACGGTTTTCACACAATCCTTCAGGGCCTGCCAGTCGTGAAACGGAACAGCGACGCCGCTTCTCTTCCAGAGGTCGTAGTTTTTTCTCTTTTCCTCGTCACATAAAACATCTTTGGCTTCCTGCAGCTTCTGGAAATCTGCCACTTGAGAACAAAGAGAACATCAGAGCTTCATTTATCTCTACATGTGGAGAAATTATGAGGATCTTCATTTACATGTTCTGCTTTGAACTCAAAACATCAGAAAGACGTAAATAAAGAGTGAACAGAAAAAAACCACAGAGCTTCCTACTTCAGGCCAGAAGGAGGTCCAGATGTTCCACCTACCAGCTCTGGGGTTGTCCAGATGTTTGTCTGGATGACACGCTAAYGCTCGGATCTTGTACTCGCTGAGAATCTGCTCAGTCTTCAAGAAAAAACACGAACAATAAAAACCAAAATATGATCAGAGACTTTCTGTTGTTTTTACTAATATTATGTTTTTTTCATGCTGTTGTTTTTAAGATAAACATTTGCTGCTTTTACCAAACATCTAGCTATTTTTAGTATAAAGTTGTTGTTTTTTTCACCACTTTGTCTTTAGTTCTTTTTAGCTTACCTTTTGTTATCCTGTTGGTTTTTGCTAACTTTGTGATGCTTTTAGCTAGTTTTTAGCTATTAAGCTCTTAGGATTTAGTCAAGTTTAGCTACTCTTAGCAAATCTTTTGCTGCTTTTTTAGAACTTAGCTACCTTTTGTGCAACTATTTTAGCTAACCTTTCGATGTTTTTAGCTAGCCTTTTTCTACCTTTAGTTCTAGATAATTGGTTTCTACTGTTAGCACACCTTTTGATAGTTTTAGCTTATAGCTAGACAGCTGTTGATTTTAGCTTTTAGTTACATTTTGGCCAATTTTAGCAAAACTTTTGCTGCATTTAGCATTTTTTTTAGCATTTAGCTTCATTGTTTCCACTTTAATTAGTGGGAATTTTTAGCTAACCTTTTAAGGGCTTTAGCTAGCTTTTTCCTACTTTTAGCTAGCTTCTGGCAACTTTTAACAAGCCGTTTTGCTGTTTTCAGCTAACATTGTTCTGTTTTTAGTATTTAGCTGTTAATCACTTTTGTTATTWTTAGCTAGCTTTTTCTTATTTTTAGCTTCAAGCTACATTTTGCTACCTTTAGTTTTGTTAGCTTTTTGATACTTCTAGCTTACTTTCATTTTTATTTTTTGCATTGGGCTAGTTGTTTGTAACTTTAGCTTTTAATTACAAATGTTCAACTTTTAATGTGCATTTTTCAACTTTTAGCTTATAGCTAACATGTTGCAACTTGTGGCTTGTGTTTTGCTTCTTTTAGCTAGTTCTCTGTTTTAGCTCAGCTTCGGCCTTTCTAAACTAATTTCAGCAGTTARCTGTCACTCAYTTCATRTTTTAATTTGTAAATTTCCTAATTGAAATATGAACTTTAGTTTCTGCACRGTGACTCCGAGGCTGTGACGTCAGGGAGTGAGAGAGGCAGGCGTGTGGTTACCATRGATACCTTTAGYCATTGTTTCTGAGCATCGTTAACGTTTTCTACAGTTTATAATAGTTAGATAGGCCTTTATAGTGGCGTGGTGAAGCAACAGGTCAGCCCTGTTCCTCCCTCTTTCCTGTAAATATAATCTGGATTAAAAAAATAACGTCAGAGTTTTAATAATAAATGCATATCCAGTATATTTGTTAATATTTTTGCACTGATCATTAGTCACAGAAAGTGGTTTACCGTGATCACAACGTAACCCAGCAAATAGTCAGAGCCATGTGATGAGTCTGCTGACCACAACTCACCGACGACAGTTCGTCACATCCTAATAATCCGTAAAAATCCTCCAAATCCTCCGGTTTGCAGCTCAAAACTGCCTCCATCTAATCTGTAAATCASTGTTTTTGATATTTTACGGGCAGATACCGCAGATCAGCTGTTAGCTCAGGGTTGTCCGGACAGCCCCTTTAACGTCCTTATTCCTCAAAAYTGAACATAAAACCCGAAGAAACGGTCAAAATTTATCAATGAGGGTTTGAGAGTTGAGARAAACGAAGCTGTTGTTTGAGTGTGACGCAGCCGCGTTCGAGTGTTTTACGTAAAAGTTTGCTCAGACTCAAAATGTATTAATTCATAAAGCCATGACATTTAAAGAAAAGTTAGCTTGACTAAATTATTTCGTCACGTAAAAGGATAAACACAATGTTGTTGAAGTAAAATAAATAAAAAGAACACTAATTTGTGGTTTGTTTTATTCTGAAAGTATCGTATTTGTGAGTGTAAATCATTTTTCCGACTGCATTTGAACGCAGCGATAACTTGTTATGGTTTYAGAGCTCGTGTCTACTGGTGAAGACCGGGTCACGTGCCCTATGTAAATGAGCCAGCTGTCCGGGGGGAAGGACCTGCGCAGCGGCGGCGGCTCTGTGGTGGAAGATGGCGGACGAAGAGAATAGTCGCGGAGCGGCCTTTTTAGGCGCGTCAGAACCGGACGAGCCTGTCGCGAAAAGACCGAAAATCGGCCCGGTGACCAACTGTGGGCTTCAGCCCGTAGAAACGGACCTGTCCTCGCGCGTCTGCGCGGACTCCGACAGCGAGGAGGCGGCGGTAAATCGTGCGGAGAAGAAGGAAGCGAAGCCGGCGATGATGGCGGTGGAGCAGGCCCTAGCGGCAGCTCGAGGCGAAGACAACAATGGACTGGACGCGCTGGGACTGCCGGTGTCCGACCCGCTCAGATCCGTTGGGAAAATTAGCGAGAGCGCCGTCTTCGGTTTAACCCACGAAAGCGCCGGTAGGGAAAAAGTTTGCTTCTCATTTTTTTCATTAATTATACTCAGGCGGTGTTTAGCCTACCTACTCACCGGCGAGCTAACTGAAACTAGTTAAGACGGAAGCGAAACAGAGTTAAACGTTGTTATTTAGTAAATGCTACTTTTACTATAAAGAGTAACTTTAAAATGCTTTATTAAACACTAATATGATCTAAAACTGGCAACGACACTTTAATTAGTTATTTTAAAAAGATTACACCAACAGAAAACACTTAAATTACTGAACTTCAGGTAGCCGGTGTTATGCCAGATTTTGTACCCCTTTCATCTGAATCTCCGACTTGGCTTTTAACTGTGTTGCCAGGCCGCACATAAATATTTTGTAAAAACATGTATTACAACTTAAATATTAGATATAGTAAATATATTAAGCAAATAAATGTTAAATATAAATTCATACAAAATTAATAATATAATAAAGCTCAGAAATTAAACTATTTTAATGTGCTTAGTGAACTAAGCGGATATATTTATTATTCCATAAACAGGCATTCTTTAGTTTTAATCCTGTGATTTATACCAAAATATTAGAGGTGCAACAATACATGTACCGGTATCGAACCGTTCAATACAGTGCTTTAGGTTCAATACACACTGTATGGATCAATACAGGGTTTTAATATTTGATTTATCAGCTTTTCTTCTGAAGATGCTCTGTGTTGAAGGATCAGTGGATCTGTGTTCGACTACTCCACCTAGGCTGCACTGTTGAGCACAGATCCACTGAGAAACTTGCTGTTTCAGCAACATTTAATTAAAAAACTGTACTTTTGAAGTTAAACAAATGTTCGTAATTAATTTAAATAAATTACAAGTTTAAAAGGGCGTGCACATTTCTCTTTTTTTGTATCGAAAAAATATCCAACGTTGAGACTAAAGTATTGAACCGAACTGAATCGTGAATTTTCTGTATCGTTGCAGCCCTACAAAATATGTGACCAAATATAAATGCAGTAATACCTGTTCAACTGTTAAAGCATGTTAACTTAAATTTTTAAAAATATTTTACTGTTTCTATGAGGCACGACTAGACAAACTGGTGGCTCCTTGAGCCAAGATTTTAAGAATATTTTAGAAATAGGAACTTTTGCAACAAACTCAATTGACTGGTGTCTGTCCTGACAAATTTCTCTAAATCTTCAGACGTTAGAATTGTGCTTTGACCCATTAATTCTCAATCTATGTGACATTTTTAAAACTGTCTACTAATTTTCAGAAATGTTTTTTCTCCCCTCACAATCGGTCTTAAAGTGCCTGTGACATGTCCATCCTTCAAATACAAAAAGTCAAAGAAAGCATCTTTATTTAAGAAAATTGGCATAGTACACATGATTTTACCCATTTTGTCACATAAATGGCCTATTTTCTTTTGAATTTGGCTCAGTCAAAGTGAAACAGGAAGTGACATCAAAGGGGAACACATTAATAAAATAAACTCGCTGGTTTTTGTTTATTAAAACAAAATTATTTAAACTTTAACTCTTCTTCATCTCTCTTTGATAATGACTAAAAATAATTAGGGCTGCACCGTAGGGCTGCGTATTGGCAAGAATTTGGCGATACGATACATACCATAACAGAGGGGTCACGATACGATGTATATATTGCGATACTGTAAGCAAGGCGATATATTGCGATTTTTTTTGTCCAAAAATTCTATTAAACAAAAACCTCTTACTGAAAAAGAAAAGAAA